GCGGTTAGAGCACGGCCGAAACAGTTGGCCGGCACAATGTGCATCAGGCGGGAAATCGTCGTGTGGTCTTGTACCGGTGCGGCGGAGGAGCGCAGGAGAGAGGTTGTGGTAGAGAGTTCGATGAGAGAGACAAAGAGATGGAAGAGTTCGAGAGAGAGAGAGAGAGTTATAGTGTTGTAGAGAGATGGAGAGCAGAGAGTTATAGAGCGTTGTAGCAGAGAGGAGAGAGAGAGCAACCACGCTTTCTGCCTAGAGCGGCCGTTGGGTGAGTAAAACCCCGTATTGTCCCGTCGTTGTGAGTGTGAGCTGAATAATACAGTACTATTTAGAAGCAGTGCCCGGGAAACTTTTCATTCGGCGGGCCAAAAATGTAGATTTTTTGAACGCTTCGGGGCCAGAAATGCCGAAAAAAAAAAAAACACAATTTATTGAAAATCCCTAAAACAAACCACATGACAGGGCTAAAATCACTGTATTTCACGTTATAACTGTACAATTCTGTCAATGGGAAGGATGGCAACTGCTTCTTCTGATTCATAATAGCACATATGTCTGGTTTTCATCCGCGAGGAAGCGATTCTCAGAGTGTTTTCCAAATGTTCATCTGAAATAGAGTTTCTGTTCTTCGATTTTGAATACTTCAACTTGGAAAAGAATTGCCTCACAGAGATAGTGCTGCCGAACAGCGTCACTGTTTTCATTGCATGATGAAGAAGGTTCGGAAAAGATTCATCGAGACACAGTCTTTGTAGAACTCGACTAGTGGTTTTTGACAAGAATTGGCTTCAAATCCATGTTGTTTGCAGATCAATTAATTCTAACTGCCAGCTATTCGTGGAGCTGTCACTGGATCAACAGAAAAAGGCATTGAGAAGATCTTGAAGTCATTTTCGTTTGCACGAAACTCTTGAAAACGCCAGAAAACTCTGCGCTTGAGTTTTTCGATTTCAGTGCGAGTATCTTTCCTCCTTCTGGCTTCAATTCTTTCTGACTTTTCAGACAAGGGAAATGAATCGAAAACATTGTTTTCTCCAATTGACTTTTCCAAAGAAGCAGCTTGGCTTCAAACGACTTTGATATCACCAAAGAGATTGTGAACGAGTTTGTCCTTTCCCTGCATAGACACAGATTCAACTGCATTCAACTTTTCAGTAATGTCGACCAAGAAGGCAAAGTCGCAGAGCCACTTGTTTCGTCGGAGAATTCCAGTAGAGGCCTTCCTTTCGCACTCCATGAACTGCTGCAATTTCTTCTCTCAGCTCCCACACCCGTTTCAGAGTGCGCCCTCTACTCAGCCATCTCACTTGAGAAAAGTACAGAACGTCTTTGTATTCGCAGCCAATTCTCCAGAAGTTCTTTGAATTGGCGATGATTCACTGCCCGAGCACGGATGAAATTCACAGTTGATATTATTTTTAGCCATGCATTTCCTGGAAACAATGACCTTCGTGCACAAAGATTCTTGGTGTATGATACAGTGCACCAATATCAACGTTTGGGCGAATGTTTCTGGTTTGGAGCTTCTTTCTTTAAACATGCTTGAAATCCTTTTCTGCCTCCCCGACCATTGCAGGTGCACCATCTGTGGCAATTCCAACGAGTTTTTCATAATTCAGATTCGCTTTCTTCATTGCTGAATCACACTCCTGAAAAACGTCCTTTCCAGTACAAGTGTCTTTCATGGGGCACAGAGCAAAGAAGTTCTCAGTTATATTGAACTCATCATCAACACCTCGCACAAAAATGGCCAGCTGAGCAGTATCTGAAATGTCCGTGCTCTCGTCAAGTGCCAAGGAAAACACTTTGAACTGAGAGGCTGCTGAGTGCAACTGGTCAGACAGATTTTTTGACAATTCCTCGATCCTCGTACTGACTGTCCTAGCACTCAGACTGAGACTGTTTAGAATCGGAGCTTTCTCAGGGCACATTGTGTCAAAAACTGCATTCACACACTCTTTCACAAATCACGTCACTGAATGGTTTCATCCTCTTTGCAATTATCTCTGAAACTACGTAGCTCGCCTTTGTGGATTTTTTGAATTCTCCGTCTGATTTGGTAAACACACTTTGTTGAGATGACAGCTTTCCCTTCAGTTCTTTGACTTTCACAGCTCTTTGTTCTCCTTGCAACTCATCAAACTTGGAAGAGTGTTTTGACATGTAATGACGTTTGACATTGCTTACTTTGGCAACAGCGATCGTTTCTGTGCATATAAGGCAGACAATGTTTCCTCTGTTCTCTACAAAAAAATAGTCTCTTGTCCAGTCCTCATTAAACGCACGATTTTCGGAGTCAACTTTACGTTTCTTGGATGCCATTTTTACATTGGTAAAAATTATCTGAGCACTTAAAATTAAAAAAATTAAAAATCGCTTGCGTACGGCGCATGCGCTTGCATGCGCTTCACCAGCTAGCGCCAGCGAGCCCAGCAATAGAAATCATCGTTATTCGAAACATTTCGAACGCGATTGTTTTTAGCAGCCAATCAAGTGTAGCAACGAGAGCTTGGAAGCGGTTTGACACCGTACAGTGTGTCCAGCTGTCCGCGGAACTGGTACGGCGTTCTAAATTCGTAACGAACATATACGCTGCCGGGCAGCGTACAGAATCGCTAGTGTGTCCTAGGCTTTATGACTCAACATGCATTGTCAATACGATTAACTGGCTGTTTAAGTAACTCGTGCTACTGCTTACAGGTTGTACAGTAGTACTGTTATTTTTTTCCGGTAAATTTGTAAAAATTAACGAAAGTCGTGGTTTCATCACATTTCTCAAAACCTTTCGCGCGGCCGCGATTGAACCACTCCGCGGCCGGATCCGGCCGCGGTCCGGACTTTCCCGGGCACTGATTAGAGTGAACGTATCGGGTCTGCACAAATAGCGGGGGAGTTAGTCTATTTTCAGTGCGGATCTGCTACGCGCAGGTGAAGGCCGTCTTCGCGTACCTAAACTGTACTGTTAGCCCTTTTGTGCCCGGCTGCCCCGCTCATAGTCTATACTGTGTGTTTAACCTCTGTGTTTACCTTGGGTATACACTTGTTATTCATCGTAACGCGAGTCTAGCGGGCAGGGGGTGGGAGTTGCCCCGCTGTGTGTGTGTGCGTGTCGTTACTCGTCCCGCACTGTTGACTAACTACGACACACCGGGACCGGAGCACAGCGGAACCGGTTATTGCGGGAGCGCAGTAGCCTCGAGCGCTCGGGTGGCTAGCGGGGTCCGGGAGGTGACGATACGGCCGGTTCAACGCCTCCGGGCACAACAGGTGAGTGAAATACCTAAGGTTGTGTACTAGCCACTAAGTGTTGACCGGTGGCACCATCGGGTGTCGCCGGAAGACGCGAAACGCTACACCGGGTAAGCACAGAGGTTAAACACACAGTATAGACTATGAGCGCAGCCAGGCAAAAAGGGCTACAGTACAGTTAGGTACCGACGGCTTCACCTCCCGTACAGCCGTGCACGAAATAGACTAACTCCCCCGCTATTTGTGCAGAACCGATACGTTCACTCTAAATAGTACTGTATTATTCACTCGCCCCACAACGACGGGACAATACGGGGTTTTACTCACCCAACGGCCGCTCTAGGCAGAAAGCGGGACAGAACAATTAGACAATAACAAACATTCACCATCTCCCCATCTCCCGGTACCCAGGGGTCTACACCCCTACCGCTCTTGGAACCCGAGGGTCCGGTGCCACCGCTACAATACTATATCATATGTTAATGTAAAACCTTTATTAATTATGGCAGGGTATTTAATCTTGATTGTCGTTATTTCTGTCAAATATTGTGCAACGTTCTCACAATTCATGTTATTGTTTGGAGGCAGAGACCATGACGACAGTGTGCCATCAACATTAGTATTAGTGTATGCACTTGTTTAACAGGTGACAGAGCCATGGGAGATGGTCGGTGTTGATCTTACTGGCCCACTGAAGACAACCGAGACTGGGAACAAGTGGAGACTTTTCACGTGTACAGTCTACTTCACAAAATGGCTGGAAGCATTTCCCATATCAGACAGAAAAGCTGAAAAAATAGCCAGTTGTCTTATGATGGTCATCTATAGGCATGGGACCCCCAAAAAAATATTAAGAGACCTGGGAAAGGTAAGTTTTGTTACTTCATATTTATAGTCTATAACAGTACTTTGTTATGACAGGACTGGAACACGTTTATTAACTTTACACTCCAGCGAGCCGAGAGAGCGAGCGACCCCTATCGGAATGCATACACAACTCTGGTCACATAACCACGTATACACAAAGCATGCTGGCCAATCTACACTTTCATACTTGACGCTCGTACTCTACTCGCTAAGCTATTGAGTCATATTGGAATTAAAAATTTTGGATGTGCTATGTATATTACGACACTGTTACGTCATTAAGTGACGAAACAAGCTCAACCAATAGCAGCGCTCACTACAGCGCTATGTTCTTGATTGACCTCACTGATCTCTATAATATAATCGAGATTATATTATAGAGATCAGTGATCGACCTAGGAAAAAAAATCACGCTCGCCGATCGGCCATTTTTGTGTATGAAACGGGATCCGACTACTCTGTAGAAATTCGCATCATAGAGCTGCCAAAAGTTTCGAGCGAAGCATAGAGCACGAATCTGTAGTTATTTAACATGAATAAAGTGTATGTTTTGTAAGTGCAGTAACAGTGTGCGTATTTTTAATTAATTTCTGTTCGATGCTTATTCAGGCCTGCAGCCTATGAACGCCCTCTACTGTTGTTCAACACCTTTATGACGTCCAGTATGGCGGCGCTGTTTTACACTAACGCCATCTAGCTCCCGATCTAAGAAACTATGGAAATGTATCGGAGCGTACCGTATTGATGACTAAGCACATGTATCTATGGTATATACTAAGCCTAAGGGTGAGCTGCATACATAAAATGTAGTCGGCTTAATATTTCGATAACGATTACGAGGAAGATTAAATTTACTATATGTACATCTACACACACGGGTTGTCGTTCATCTGTGCGCGTGATAGGTTTAGTAAAGCATGTTTAGTATGTATACGAAGCGTGTTTATCGACTGCCGGTCAAACGCGAGTCTCATTTGTATACGTCTACAAACTTGTGTATTTTATCACACAATGTTATCAACAAATTTACGTACTGTGCATAGCAATATCATTGAGTGAGTAGAAAGTTATAGGCAAGTTCATGAAATTGTTTTCAAAGAAAATTCACACTTTATTTATAACAAAATCAATAATTTTTAGAGGAACAGCTTACTGCTTTACGCTGCGTTCTGCAAAAAATACAAAATTTGTATTAATAACATATATCTGTCCATTAAACTGCGTGATGCTTAATATCTTAACAATTCGCTGCTCAAGAAATGAATTGCCATCAACTACTTACTCGCTCTCTTCTTCTTAGGTGGTAACCAAATAGCAAATATAACAAATAATAAAAATATAATTCAAACTATTTCATGAAGCTGATAGAACATTTATTCTCACTAATTAATAGTAATACAGCCTTTTATGTGATATTCTTAGCTTCCTTATGCTTATGCCATATTATTTAACTAGTAATATAATGTGATTTATTTA